ACCCCCTGCAGAGTGGCTCATTTACTTGTTTCCTCCACACTGAAGAGCTCCTGAGTTACATTTTTCTTTTCTGACAATTCAAATTACTGGTTCAACTTAGCTGCTTGTCCACTGTGGTCCAGTTTCCTGTGTCCGGGAGTGGGGGAAGGTGGGTGGGCCGACCACTATGATAAAGGGAGAACAGTTACAACGTCAACACTGGGTGACTATGTTGCTTTGGGAAGGAGCAGAAAGGGTGGCTTCTGACTGGGGCTCCTGTGACTTATTGTCACCTTGTCTCCAGCACGCTCTCGCTTTCATGCACAGAGGGCATGGAGTGAAAAGTGCACAGTTCTGTTCCCAAAGTGCCCCCAACCTCAGGGGCTGGTGGGCCGTCTGGAAATGAATTGATTAATTACTCTGCTGGTTAGGCACTGTGGGCAGTGGATGACACAAACAACAGCCAAGGAATACAACAAAAACTTCCACTGTCATAAGGCTAAAATTCTAGTGACAGACAGGTGATAAACACAATAAATCAATAAAACATGCAGCATGGTATAATGGAAAAATGAAAACATCTCAGATCCTGAGAAAATTGAGATGTGAAAGTGAAAATATGAATATGAAATGATTCAATTTCAATATGAAAAAATTAGAGGCTGAGAAATGCTAAAAATGAATGAGTAAAAGAGGATGCGGATGGCGATTATAAATGGGATGGTCCATTCCACCCAGGAATTCGGTGAGACTTGAGGGAGAGGAGCCTGCAGGGTGGGGGTGTCTGGGATGGGCACCCCAGGCACTGGGGTCAGTAAGTACACAGGCCTGGAGGTGGTGGTGGGGATGACATGTGGGCTCTGAGAGGTGACAGCAGCTACGCCGCAGAGAGTCTTGCCAGTTTCTGTGATTCTGGGCTTTGTTCTGGGTAGAGATGAGGCCAGAGAGACTGTAGGGACTGGGAGCAGAGGCCTTTTGTAAACTGATGTGGGAGCTGCATACACATTATAATTTTACAGACATTTTCTCAAAAAACATTCTTGTTGTTTTAAGTGTATTGTTTTCAGTTGGCTTAATTAGCACTGAATCTTTGCATTGTCTCAGAGAGTGTCAGGGAGGTTAAAAAGCAGTAGGACTACAGGACACTGCCTGTAGCTGTCCTGCATGGAGGGTACGCTGCCGGGTCCTCTCCTGCACACCCAGCCTTGTCTCTGAAGGGACCGCTTTTCAGGTGCTTGCAGGCCCAGCGCCTGAGTCTGTACCTGCAGCAGACAGGCGTTACCTCCCCATTTTCTCATGGGGCCTCTGAGTAGCAGACAGCAAAGAGCCCAGGGTGAGTTCAACAGATCCAGAGAAAGAACCCTCTGTCGTTGGCCTTGGCTCTTCTTGGGAGGCCCATTCTAGTGGGCTGTCATCCCCTGTGACCAGCCACCTTTATGTGTGAGTAGTACACGGATGCCCACTACTGGTATAAATTCCTTGTACCCTTTAGGAAAATTGTGTCACACCCTTATTAGGTGAAAGGATTCTTACGTGGCTGTGAACAGGGGCTTCAGGGTGAACAGACCGGGTCCACATAAGGGCTAGGCCACTTACCACCTGGCAAGTTGCTCCTGTTCTCAATCCCAGCTCCTCTTCCATGAAAGGTGACATTGCTGCCACCCGGACCATGGGTGCAGAGTGAGACCTACTGTCCTGGCACAGCTCCTAGGGCCTCACAGTCCCGGAAGTAGAGCCTAGCAGGTAACAAATGAATGGATTTGTTCTTTCTTTTTTTTTTTGCAGTTTTTACTCAGGGCCAGGCTTGAACCTGCCACACCCGGTATGTGGGACTGGCACCCTACTCTTTGAGCCATAGGTGCTGCCCAAGTGAATGGATTTTAAAAAAAAACCTCTTTTATTTTTCAAAATCATTCATTTCTTGTCCTGGAATGATTTGCGTCCGCATAGAGCCATTTGGTGTTCATTTACCAGCCCTTTGAGGTCAGTCTAACCTTGAGCAAATACTGGGTTTTCCAGTTGATTTTTCCTATAATTCTCAGGAGTGTCTTGATAAAAAATAATCTGATGGTCTCAAAGCATTGCTCTTTTATGATTAGTCATGAATCTGTATCCCATTAATTAGGCAGCAAAAGATTATGTCAAGTACTTTCCCAGGCCGGTTTGATAGGGCTGTCAGTGGTTGCTGAAAACATTTGTAATATTTATTGCCAGGGCTCTGATGCCTCAATAAGGGATGGCTTCTAGGAGCTTGGGATGGCTTCTAGGAGCTTGGGATGGCTCTTTCCTTGTCTCCTGCAGAGCTGTGAGAGTATAGCCATAAAAGGCTGACTCTTGATTTTAAGCAGGGCATTTCCATTTGTTCATTTCAGAGCTCCTTTCTAGCACTTAATCTTTTACTCTTTGAGCCATGTGCTTGATAACGAGTGACAAAATATTTATCAACTTGGAGAATGGTTCCACCAGCTTGCTTGCACCCCTCTGCTGGGGAGTAACCCAACGCGATTTTGCTCAGGCTGCATATGTCAGTGGAGAATATGTGTAGCTAAAGTTATTCCAAAGATTTACAGAAACGTGTGGCCTTATGTTCAAGAAAAGAAGGTATTGTGTTCAAGAAAAGAGTGTTAATTGCTCTCTGATTGTAACTTGTGTCTTACAAGTGAAAAAAAATCCCCTAGAGAATTAGTAAAATCTAGAATTTGGAGTTCATTCACCTATAATAAGAGGTATAGTTGTCAAATTAAAATGCTTACACGACTTGTTTCCTTTTGCTGTTCTTACCAAGAGAGTTTTTGTAAGATGTACATTTTCTGTTTGTTTCTTATTCAGTCTGCGTGTGCACTCAAGTACTGAGGTGAGAAAGATGTGGTCCCGGCCTGCAGTGGACGAGGGCAGCCCCTGGCTCGTGGGCAGTTAGTTACAGTGCTGGAGAATAGGGACACGGACTGAAGTGTGTGGACAGCATGAAACGGGGCCAGTGGAGGGCTGGCTCTTAGCCCAGTAACAGAGATGTTGTTCAACTTGAGTTTTGAGTTAAAAATGAAGAATGGCTGTGTATCCCAGGCATAAAAAGTGTTAGCAAAGACATGGAGGTCTGAGATTCAACGGCGAGGCAGAAAGTTTTGAGACCTGAATGGGTTCGGGGTTATGGAGCCTAAATCCACAGGGAATGGGGACAAGCGGGAGTGAGAGAGAGGGCTGGGGCAGGGAGAGTTAGTTCTGATCTGGAAGCCCTTCTGCTATGTTTTGGAGCATTAGCTTTGTTCTGTAGTTGGGGTCATTGGCAACTATGCAGGAAGGACTAGGCTGGTTTATGCTGGGTCATGTGATAGAGGATAGGGCATCAGGAAGGATGTATGGATGACATGCATGTATGTGGATGGATGGATGGACAGATGAGAGGGTTTCATGAGGGCAAGGAAACCAATGTAGGGGCTTTTTTGTTGCTCAGGAAAAAAATGAGGAAGATTCAGACCAGTGTGGAACTACTAGAAAGAGAGGGAAATAGATAGAAATGAGAACTATTTTGGAGATGAAATCAGGTGCTGAAAACGTGAGACAAATGAGAGTTAGAGTCGTGAACGGGCAGGGGAGGGTGGCAGGTGTCCAACTTGGGTGGCCACATGGGTGAGGAACTAGGAAGCTGGAGATGGAACCTGCTTGGTGAGGACAGTAGTGAGTCCAGCTCAGGACATGTGGGACAGTTAAGTGACTGGTCCAGCAGGGCAGCGAGTTCTCAAGTCCTAGGTTTGGGGCAAAGGTCAGAGTGGAAGAGGCAGATTTGGTTTATACCTGTAGGAGATAGGATAGTTGTGCACGAGATTCTTGCAGAATGGGAAGACGAGAAGTGTGGGCTGGAACTTCATGAACCATCAGAGCATAAGAGATGGTTGGTGGGAGGGAAGGCCGCAGGGATACTCAGAGTGAATAGCCAGAGAGGCCCAGAGAGGCCGTGGTGTGGTGGATTCAGAACAGAAGATTTGCAAAGCATGGACTGTTAGCCCCATGCACTATGGGCATCTAGTAGGGTAAAGACTGGCATCTGCCTCTGGGGTTACCAAGTTTTGAGGTGAGTTAGAGTGGGTGGGGAATGGAGACTATGGCTGTGGACAGCTCCTTCTCCCAGGTTGGCTGAGAGGGTGAGGTGCAGGAATACTCCAGAAGGAGCTATTTCTGGGGAGCTAGGCCACAGTAGCCTGAGGTGTGGTGCCCCAAGGAGGCTCACACCCCTAGAAGCTGCTTGTCGAACCATTTACTGCTACGGGAAAGAGGCCATGTTGATACTTGTTTGCACATGCTCATATTACTGCAATTTGAGGTTTTTGTTTATAGTAATTGGGCAAAAGATACAGTGAGCTTCATGTAATCATTAATTTGTTTTAACATGCAGGCCCAGTTACCCCAGTATTGAATGTTTAAATATTGCTAAGACATTCATCTTCTTACAACAGCAGTGTTTTACATTTCTCTAGTTTTCTTCCTAGCATTCTTTCAAAAATGTCTTTTGCACCCCTACCAGAGTTGGAATTCAGTGGGACAGACCTTGCTTCTTGCCACTTGCCACTCTGCAGATTCACCTGTCTCTCAGGGTCATATCTGAGCTCCTTAATGAGACAGATGGTCCAGGATGTTCTGGGCCTCTACCCTTCCAGCCCAGCTCTTGACCTGCTGCAGGCCTCACACAAGGTTCCAGAAGAAAAGTCCAGCTGTTCTGCTTTTCTGACTGCTCTGTGGGCCATGCCTCTGTGATGCTCTGCTCTAGGCAGCTAGGTACACCTCCTACTTTCTGTGCAGGGGGCTGCTCTGGTGTCACTGCCACGGGGTCTCTCCAGGTGCAGCTGGCCAGTCTGCTCCCACGAGTTGAAGACTGACTGTGCTGCACCATCTTGTTATTCCCTTCTGAGATTCTGGACTCCTATGTGGCTGTGAACATCTTTGTGCACTGGCTCCATGCCTGGCACTTCATTCACACCGGGTGCTTTGGTCTGGTGACGCTCACCTTGTTCTCTGCCTCTTTGCAGGGAAGCAGTTTAAGTGCACAGTGTGTGACTACACAGCAGCCCAGAAGCCACAGCTGCTGCGGCACATGGAGCAGCACGTCTCTTTCAAGGTAAGAGGGTCCCGGGGCAGAGACGGGTGCAAACCGTCAGCATCTAGCTTTGCACAGTGGAGATGGAGAGAGTGCCCCTGTAGTACTTTTTGGTATTACCTTCACTTTCGGGCCCCCTTAGCTGGTCATATGGGTCTAAGTCATAGTTCAGTTCTGCTACCTTTCCAGACGCAGAGTGTTCCTCTTGGCAACCTTGGCAACCGAGTCAAGGATGTGTAAAAGGATGCAAACAGAAAGAAAGGGGTGCTCTTATGTAACACTGGAGTGATTTGGAGGACAGTGTGCAGGCTTTAGGGACACGTGTTTGTGCTTTCAAATCTTGGATTAGCTCAGGTGAATCAGCTGCTAAACCAGGTGTGATGAAGCCCACCTGGCAGGCATTTGTTAAGACTAGAAATTCTGCTCGGGAGTGCCCACTGCAGTGCCATCACTAGCAGGGCTCAGGTCATATTCTTTTAATGCCTCTAATTGATGTTTCTTCAATGTAGGTGGTAATATCTTTTCAGCCACTGCTTATAATGCAGTTATTAACAGCAAGAACTATGGTCCAGTAATTTGTTCAATAAAAAATTCTGCTTACCACTTGGGGCAACTTAACCCTTAAAATTGCTGCTGCTGCTGCTGCTGGCATCCGCACATGGAAATGGAATCAAGATTTGCAAACATGTTGCTCTGAAATGGTTTTGGAAATTGCATCTACTTCTGAATACTAGAGCAGCATAGGAGGGGGTCTACTGGCCAGTAGTTTCAACCTCTGAGGAACCCAGGGCTAGAATCACCCCAAGGCAGTGTCAGGGGAGTGCCCCAAACTGTCCTGGGATGGAGCTGGTTGGGATTCCAACAAAAGAAGCTCTGGACTGAGGTGATGAGTCCGAAGCATTTATTTAGGGGACTTGCAGAGTGCTGCAGCCATCCTTGCAGTGGACAGAGAGAGAAAAGCGATGTCCTGTCTAGGTATGTCCACAGTGAGGGGTAGGAGTGTGCAGTTGTTATGTTTGAGGAATTTGGCTCAGGGTCTGGGCCAGTTTCCTCTGGGTAACAATCTAGATGCCTTTATCAGTGCCTGGCAAAGTTCAAGGCTCCAGTTTGAGTTAAAGCCTTCTGGGGAAGGCTGTAGCTGGCTGGTCCTAGAGCACTCTTTGATTCTTGGTCAGGACACTGGAAGAAAGCCAGGGAGCCGGAAGGTGCAGCTCCCGCAACCTCCTCACCTACTGAACTGCTGTCATGTGCTGCTGCTGTGCCACAACACTGCGACCCTCCAGTCTCCCCCACGGTTCCTGTCGTTGTTCCTCTTTGACAAATGATGGACCTGAACCTCAGAGATGTTAGCTGATCACCTGTTAGTTAGTCTTTTCTGCTATGCCCGTACCCACAGATTCCAGTCGTCACAGTAATACTGTCTGACCTGTGTTCACCACTTGTGAGGTGGCGAGAACCTTCCCCCTTGACAAACTCATCTTATGCTCAGAAGAGCCTTGTGAGAGGGGAATTCTTCTGGCGTCTCCTCTTATAGTGGAGAAGCTGAGTTGCTAGAGGGGTTAAGGGCTTTCAATGTCTGGGAGGTGAAGGAGCCAGAAGTTGGACTTCATCCTCTCACTGTGGTCCTACACTTTTCTCTCTGGATCTTCTCAGTTATTTGTGGGCAGAAAGAGAAACTGGAAAACTAAGGATGTTGCAGGCTACTGCTTATGTAACTGCTCCCACCTGGTGGGAATGTGGCAGTGTCTGAGCTGAGGAGGATCGTCACTGCTATGCACGTACTACACAGAATTAAAATTAAGGGCTTTATTTCACATTTCTCAGCGCATGGGTATGTTTCTTTGGGGGACTAGTACAGTTACTATACTGGAGGACAGCTGAGCAGCTCTTTATAGATGAGAAACTTAGGTCCATTATTTTCCTAGCTATTTCAGAATTGATACTAGACTTTCCATTCACTTCTTGGTTTTGAGTGTGAACATTTTTCTTTCCTAACCAGACACAGCTCTAAATGTCTTTGTGCCTTGAAATCCTCGTTTTCCTTCCAGGCTTACCAATTACTTGGTTTAGGTGCAGAGGAAACAGATTGGGTGCTGGTTTTAGTTAAGGCACTACTTGCATATGTGGTTATTGACTTTTCCTGCCATCACGGAGTTGACATCCAGCACTGGGCCTTGGAAACTTCTCACTGAGCTGGACTTGGGGGTCATGGCCCGTTTCCTCAAGCTGCCTGCGGGTTCCAGCTTCTTGCTTACTAAGCAGCAGTGTAGTTGGGAATGAGATTCAGGCCTTCATGAGAAGTGCTATATTCAAACTTGGTTTCTCTCATCCTGCAAGTTAGGTCCCTGTCCTGATGCCGGTGTGTCGAGGTAGTGCTTCTCAGTTAATTGGGACTGACAACGCAAACTGAAATTGCGTCAGGCCAAGCACCCTCGTCGGCACGGTAATTACTCTGAGCCTGTCTCATCCCTCTTCCACTCCTGTGTTAGTTTCCTGTCACTGCTATAACAAATTAGTGGCTTAAAATAACAAAACCATTCTCTTCTCTTACTGTTCTGTAGTTTAGAACTCTGTCAACTAAGATAAAATCAAGGTGTTGGCAGGGCTGCTTTTTTTTTTTCCTCCTAGAGGCTGTAGGAGGAAATCTTTTCCTTGCCATCTCTGGCTTCTGGAGGCCACCTGCACTGGGTGGTTTGTGGCCACCGCCACCTCTATGAAGCGTCTCTCATCACATCTCCTCCCCTGACTCTCCCCCTCTGCCTCCTCTTCCCCCTGTAAGAACCCTGTGATTACACTGGGCCCACTCAGATAACCCAGGATAATGTTCTTATCTTAAGGTCAGATGCATAGCAACCCCAGTCCCACCTGCAGTCTTAATTCCTTTCTGCCATGTAAGGTGACATATTTACAGGTTGCAGGGATTAGGACCTGGACATCTTTAGGGAGTTGTTAATCTGGCAGCTATGTTTCCTCACTTTTTTTTCCTTCCACGTATACTCTATGATAGAACATTTTCAGCATGATCAGAAAATAAACAGTATGCATACATATTTCATACCAATGGTGAATATTACTAACAAGTCTCTTTCAGTACTCTTAGATTAGGCCTCACCATTTTCACACAAATGCTACTAATCTATGGTAGTTGGCTTGTAAGAGGAAACCAGTTTGCTTTTCTAAATGTATAATTTACAATATATAATTTGTGTCAGGGAACACTATAATAAGGTTAAACTCCTTTATTGCCTTATAAAATTACATGGTTTTTATTTACATATTTGTTTTAAAAATAAAATTAATGTGTGCACTTATTTCTGTCCAAATCAGATTTGGAAAATGCTTTTGATCCCTTTCCTTATTGAATTCTTTTTTTCAAAGTTAAGGCTGAACAAATGTTTTTGTTACATGGATACCTTGTCAGGGCTTTTAATGAGCCTGTCACCAGAATAGTGTGAATTTTTATCCCTCACCCTCTCCATCCCTCCCCCTTCCCTGGTTTCCAATGTCCTTTCTATCTCTTTGAGTTGTGTATGCCCATCATTTAGCTTCCAATTAGAGAGAACATGTAGTGTGTGTTTTTTTTTTATTCCATTCATCCTTAGTATAATGATGTCCACTTCCTTCCAAGTTTCTGCAAAAGTCATTATTTCATTCCTTGTTGTGGTACACACACACCACATTTTCTTAATTTACTCATGAATTGATGGACACACAGGTTGATGCCACACCTTTGTACTTATTAATTGTGCTGTGTTAAACATTCAAGTGCAGGTGTCTGTTTGATAAAATGATGACTTTTCCTTTGGGTAGATACTCAGTAGTGGTATTTCTGGGTTAAATGGTACAGCTACATTTATTTCTTTGAGGAATCTCTATACTGTTTTCCATAGAAGTTGTACGAATTTGCAGTTCCACCAACAGTATATAAGCATTCCATTCTCTTTGCATCCAGACCAGCAACTGCTGTTTTTAATTTTTTTAATAATGGCCATTGTCACAGGGTAAGATGATAGCTCATTGTGGTTTTGCATTTTCCTGATGATGAATGATGGTGAGCATTTTTGTGTGTATTTTTTGGCCATTTGTTTACCTTCTTTTGAAAAACTTCTGTTCATATCTTTTGCCCATTTTTTAATAGGGCTGTTTTTTTTTTTCTTGCTGATTTGGGTTCTTTGTAGATTCTGATTATTACCCCTTTATTGGATATACAGTTTGTGAATATTTTCTCCCATTCAGTAGGTTGTCTGTTTACTCTATTGATTAATCTCCATTGCTATGCAGAGGCTTTTAATTTTAGTAAGTCTCATTTATTTATTTTTTATTATTGATATAATTGCCTTTGGGGTCTTAGTCATAAATTCTTTGCCTAGGCCAATGTTTAGAAGAGTTTTTCCTACATTTTCTTCTTGAATTTTTATGGTTTCTTGCTTTGAATTTAACTCTTTTATCTATTGCAAATTAATTTTTTATATGGCAAGAGGTACATTTTCCTATAGATTGGAAGATTTCCTTTATTGCTTATTATATCCTGGTTTATTGGAGCTGAATTCTCTGTTTTTGGCTATTTGAAAATGTTTGTATGTGGTCTTCATTTGTGAAAACTTATTTTAATGGCTATAATTTTTTTTTTTTTTTTTTTGGTGGGGGACATCACTCTAAATATGTTGTTCTATTACTTCTTCTGGCTGATTTAAAGTTTTCTTTCCTTCTCTCTCTTTTTCAAGGGGCGGGGAGGGCTTGTCATAATGTCAAATCAGTAAGTCTAGGTGTAGTTTTCTTCGTATCTCCTTTACCTGGGCTTTGCTGAGCTGTTCCATTTGTGGATTGACATGCTTTCAGCAATCGTTTTTGGACCATTCTTAGCCATTATCTTTTTAAATATTCCTTCTTCATTTGTTCTCTCCTTTATCTCTAGGACTATAATACCACGTATATTAACACAGGTTTAGCTAACAGGACCTCACATCATTCAGTTAGTCTCTCTCTCTCTCTCATTCTTTTGCTTTATATTTTGGTTTGCA